ACCTGTCCTAAACATCGAACGGAGCAGTCACGTTCCGCCGAGATTACATTTTTTTCTTATCACTATTACGACAAACACCTTACAATAGATAATTTCTCAAAACATTTAATTTATCGACTGTCTTGCAACCGCCGTTACTCTTACGCTAATTTGACCCCTATTCAAAAATTTGATATTTTAATTTTTGATAATTTTTGTATAAAAACAGTGAAATTGTGCGCATCATGGCACTATTAAATTAAAGTCAAATAGAAAATTTTTGGTTCCCAATGGATCTCATCGGTAGTTCCAGAGTACTGGAAGCCCGAAATGGATATTTAAATGATCGATCTGAATGTACCGGAAAGCGTGAAGAAATGTAATAAAATGTCACTAGAAATGAATGATTGACACATGTCTAATTTGTGCATATTTCAATGCCCACACGCCCGACAAGCTTTAGTACGAACCAAAGATATTATAATATGCTGCCTAATCTTTGGTATGAACGCGGTCTTACGACCAAACAGCTGTGAATTATTTTTTCTACATTTATTTTGGCATTGTCTATAAGACCTTTAACCAAAGAGAATATCAAAACCTGAGATGTGTCACCATCGCTGACCTCTCTATATACAAGTAGGTACGCTGGACTGGCTAAACACCGTGACATGATGAGGTGGTTTGATTTGAGCCATTTTGGCGCTGACAACAGATTTGGACGGCCACGGAACTAATAATAGGGATAAAACAGTGTGACAAAATATATCGATAAAAATTCTATACCCTACCTATACGTAAATATATAGAATAGACACTATGGATAGATGGCCTCTACCCGTAACGGACGTAACGGACTTCCTGAGCCCGAAATATTTTTTATAGGATTGGGGCAAACGAGCATACGGCTCATCTGCTAGTAAGTGATTACCGCCACCCATGAAAAACTGCAACACCAGGAGAATTGCAGATGCGTTGCCAGCCTGTTAAAAAGGAATAAGCTCTTTTATTATATATTTTCTTTCCATATGCGAATGGAGCCAGTAAAAAAAGAACGCTTGGAAGCATCAAGTGGTGCAGCCTCACTAAAGTAACAATATTCCATGTGCGACCGAACCTGAGCCTTGTGAAGTTGCAGTCGGTGTGCCAGCATGAAATGCTGTCCCGCTCTGCTGAGCGTGCCAGGCTTTTTAGAGGCCAATTTGGCCTTCTCTTCCAAGTGTCCACGAAACTACACGTCACTCGATATGTCGACGCCGAGGATTCCGATACTGGTGGAGGCAACCAGGGGAGTGCCTTGAAACTGAGGAAATATGACAAAGGGTTTTTTTAGCGGTTAACGCGCAAACTTATGTCTTCTGAGCGTTAAACTGGATTAGATTTAGACGGCCCCAATCCGAGACTTTGTTCAGCAATGACTCGACTTCCTCAAGTTTGTCCCGGTACTCGGAGGCATTTTCCCAAGAAATATTGGCACGGCCGATGAACAGAGCATCACCAGTACTGTCATCTGCATAACAATGAATGTTACAGGCTTGCAACATATCATTGATATGCAGAAGAAACAGCGATGGTGATAGCACGCAGTCTTGTCGAACACCAGCATTAATAGGCTTGTAATGGGAGCATGAACCGTCTACAACGATCATGATGCTCAGATCTGCAAGAAAGCCGATGATCCACTTGCACAATTTCTTGGGAAGGCCGTAGGTAGGGAGCTTTGAAAGAAGCGCTTTGTGCCAAAACCGTTCAAAGGCCGATGAGTCAGGTAGACCAGAAGATCACCAGTTGATCGACCCTGACGAAAACCGTATTGGCGGTTTCGCGGTCACTAATCAACTGGTGATCCTCAAGTTACCGCATGAGCTAGCAGTTTATAATGGATTCCATTATTTTGGAGAACAAGGAGGTGATGGCGATAGGCCGGTAGTTGGACGGGTCTGAGCGGTCGCCTTTTTTAGGGATCGGGTGGACGAAAGTCGTCTTCCATTATTTTGGAACTACGCCTAGGGAGTAGGAGTACCGGAAAAGACGCGTTAAAACTGGTGCCAACTCTGGAGCACACGTCCTCAGCACAATTGGGGAGATTCCGTCAGGCCCACTCCACTTGTGGATGTCCAGGGAGAGGAGTGCTTTGCGAACCGAGCGCTGTGTGAACTGCACTTCTGGCATGGAGCACTCACACCAAGAATTCTTTCTTGGTGTGAGAGAGAGCCTAGCAGATCGGCTTTCTCCTTTGCGGTATGGGCCAGTGAGTCGTCCTCCCTGTGCAGAGATGGAAGAGATGGCTGAAAGAAATTTCCTTGGACAGCCTTGGCAAGAGACCAGAAGGCACGGTTTCCAGAAGAAAGGTGAAGAAGTTTCTCGCCAATTCAGCCTATCCCAATCGGCTGACCTATAGTGCCAAATACGGCGGCAGCCTGCAGATTGCAACTGCGATTTCAGCGTGGCACCACATTCCGGACAAGACAATGATCCGAGGAGCCAAGGGGGGTATCGACGGAGACCTGGTATCTGTCCTGATGAGAGGTTAGCAGAAGGTTCAACAGGGAAGGTGCATGATCCTCCACATCTAGAATTCGCGGAAGCAAAGTAACTAGTTGTGTCAGACCATATGCCAAGGCAAAATCAAAACCTAGCTTCGTCCGTTATTCATGGTGGAATAGCCATCTAGATTCAGAGAAAGCTCTAAATTTAAAACAATAATAATAACATTTTGCGATCACGCGTGTAGTTACCCGTTGTCTATTGGCTATGTAGCTAGTCACCGTAGTAGCTGCCGGCAGCCGCGCGTAACTGCCAGCTAAATAACCAAATCTTCAGCTATTTGGCTATTTGGATAAATGACTCACTAACCAATTCATAGTTGATACCGTTAGCGTAGCAACTTTTGTATAGCTAGGACTTGAATAATGCTCAATTGCCCTGTGATTGCGTTCGAATCTCGACGCGTAACATTTTTATATTTATATAAATAAAAAATTATGACCTTTGTTTTTATTTTCTTATTCATTTTATATTTCTTAGTAAAGAAATGAATTTCCCTCTTAACTATGTCGTACGTATTATTATATCAATTTATTAAAAATTGTCGAAATATCATATCTATTTATATGTGACAGTGCCATCTATATGGGTATGAATTAAGAAACTGCTGTAGCGTGACTTAATTTAATCCAGTCAGTTTAAGACATTTTTCTTAGCCAAAATTCGCATAGAGCTGAAAATTGGCAGGGACGTTAAATACATCATTATAAATAAAATGTCAAAAATTCCCTTTGATCCTACATCTGCGAAAAATTTTATACAAGGTCATAGGTAAAAATTTATGTTTTTTCCATTTTTCTCGAAAATGGTAAGTTTTATCGTAAAAATATGTTAGATAAAAGTTGTAGATCATACATTTTCCTACAAAAATTGTCCAGTTACTTTTTCTCTTACGACTCATCATTCGTGAGACATAGCGGTTAGAAAATTCATATTTTACATAATATGAACACATTTACGAGTATGAGGTAATGTACTCGGCGCATTTTTTAAAGTGATTTCGCCAGTAGGTATACTTCACGATCTATTGTAATACAGAAAGTTTGATCAGATCGTATCCTATTGATTGAAAGAATGGTAATATTGCCAATGATCAAAGTGGAATAGGTTGTTTTCTTTTTTTTATATAGGATAGGTGACAAACGAGCATACATTCCACCTGATGGTAAGTGGTTGCTGTGGCCCATAGACATCTATCCTCGATTAGGAATCAAAATGCAGATGTCTTGTCACCCGTCAGAACTAAGATGGAATGCCTCGTTTGCAGTAAAAAGGGTCTGCGGTTCTCTACACTCACCATACGAAACACAGCGGCATTATGCTACTATTTTACGCTGGTATTCTGTGAGAGCGTGGTCCTTTTCCGGTCGAGCCGACCCATTCGTGCTACAACTATACTACTTATATAACTGCAGTATGGCTCTACCACATATAAAATTCTCTTCTAAATGTTATTATATTAGATAATTGTCTAAGTAGAATTAGACAATCTTCTAAATATTATTATATTAGATAATTGTCTAATTTTACTTCGACAATTATTTCATCGTCTTCATTTCCTTCTTCTTGCAGAATTTCTGTTCTAAGAAAAGGAATGCATCACTTGTCTCTTCGTTAATATCATAAATATTTTCATCTGCCGTATTTGTTGCAATATGGGAGCCTGACAATTGATGCATACTGGCGAACAAAACAATCCCACTTTTTGACAGCTACAATTCTTACTACAATCCGTCTTGCATTTACAAAAAATAGTATTTAGCAGTTTTTCTGGAGCAGGCGGGAGTGGTTTGAATCGTCTCCAAATAATTATCTGTTAATTTCCAATCCTTCTGGGTCCAGCTCATTGCCTAGCCACAATTGAACTTGATAATACACACGGTACAAGTGTTGAAAGGTAGAAGTAGATGTTGGAGGCAGGCAAGACAAACTATACTGTTTTATTTGTTGATTGTACTTGAGCTTTCTCAGGTTTCAAGTTTTAGTTCATATTATGCTAAATATGATTTTTCTAGTTATTAAAACCGCGATATCTCACGAATGATGAGTCGTAAGAGAAAAAGTGACTGGACCATTTTTGTAGAAAATTGTATGATCGACAACTGTTGTCTTAACTGTTTTCACGATAAAACTTACCGCTTTCGAGAAAAATGAAAAAAAAAACTTAATTTTGTACGTTTGACATTGAGTAAAATTTTTTGCAGAAGTAGGATCGAAGGGGATTTTTGACATTTTATTTATAATGATGTATTTAACGTCTCTGCCAATTTTCAGCTCTGTGTGAATTTTGAACGAGAGTCCGACTCATACTCGTTATATAAAACTAGTTGCTCCGCGTCCTGCGTCATTCCGAAGTGATCGTGCCAGTAAATAGAGCACGGACAAAATGCCGAATTGCAGTGTATTTACATGAAAAAACAATCAAAAACGTCAAATATACAAAAGGACAATCTGTTGCTTTCATAGTTTATTATTTATTCTTCCAAAGCTTTTGTACCCCACAATTTTACCTCATCTTCGCAGGCAGTTAACAAGTAGCTCTCAGTTGGGTGTTGGCTTAATGTTACAACTGGCTTTTGTTTACAGTGAACTAATTTTCGAGTACAATTACTATTTATTAAATCCCAATAAAAAACCTCTCCATTTGCAGAGCCCGAAATAATATGACTATCTTTCTCATTAACAGCATTCTCTAGAAGTAAATCTTTGCTCTCATGACCAGAGAATGTATTAAGCAACTCTCCTGATTCTTTATCAAAAAGCTTAACTGTGCTATCAGCACAACTTAGAACAAAGCACTGTCCATCATGAGTAATGCTACCAAATGTAACTATCTGTCCAATATAATCTGAAGTCATTTTGCCAACTCTTATATCATATAAACGCACATGACAATCCACTGAACAGGTCAAAATTTCATGATTAGTGACCTGTACAGCAGTAATTGTGTCTTTAGCATCCTTTAACACTTGCACTGGCTCCTGTCTTCTACTCAACGTGTCCCAAAATGCAACCGTATTGTCTACTGAACCAGAAATGGCCATTGTTGATTCTTCATTAAACTTAACACAGGTAACTGTACTAGCATGACCACGATATCGCCTTATTGGTTGACCTGTGGCCACATCCCACAATATTACCGATTTATCTGAACTACAAGAAACAAAATGACTACTATCACATGAGCCGGCCGCGTCGAGCACTTCGTTGGCATGACCGCCATAAGTTTAAAAGAAGTTGGTTATGCATTCCATGCTTTTTTCTTATCGGCACCACACGTCAGGCAGTACGAACCGTCCACATTGAATCGCACTGCTCTTATAGTCTGTTGCTTGCATTTTATTGTAACTAACGTTGACAGCTCAGGTTCACTCATTATTATTTTATCTATTTTATCATAATTTATTCTCAACTATGGTATAAATGCAAAACAAACAATATGCCTTATCAAATGCATCTTTAGAGATCAGCCGCGCGTAGCTGTCAGCCATAGATTACCACAGAACACTAATACCCTTAGGCGGGTAGATTACTCTCTTGACTAACTGACCTACAGATACGACAGTGACTTTTAGTCAAGTTTCCCAATTACGCCTTTTGGCGCTGCAGTCGCCCAATTTGACAGATGAGTAATGACTATACAATTTAGTATAGCTATGTATAGCTTAGGGATTGCAAGCACACATCCTTCAAATTATCGATATCGATGTTTAGTGGTGTTCTTATTTTATCGATATCGACATAAGTGCATTATACAGGAATAACAATACTTAATGAAACAATTATAATAAATCTAACTTATTTATTTTTTATTGAAGCACACCAACATCATATACATACAAACGTAATCTTAGGATTAAATTAAAGGCACATTAAATTATATAAACAAATTAGAAAATTGTGCATAACATTTTACATAAATAAGTACAATTTGACGAGAAACAGTTCAATATTTATAATTCATTAAATAAAGCAAATTAAACCACAGGAATCATTAAGTGCTTAATATTTTACTTTTCAAGTTATTTTTTATTATAAGCAATGCTATTTATTTTTCATCTGGGGTACACCTGGCCATTCTTTTACAAAAATTAAAAAAAACATCTCTTCTTTAATTTCATTTTCTACACCACGTAACCTGAAAAGAAATAAATAAAAATAAAGTCCAATATTCATATTTTATGGCTTAATGATAATCATAAACTATATATTATTTACATTAAGGTAACAAAGGGTGGCTTCATGGCAGTTGGCATTTTTTATCAGTCAACCCATGGTGTGGTGAAATAAAGTAGTAGATGCAGTAAATAAGAGCTTTCTCAATGTCTTCAGGCACGGAGTTCCAAATAAGTGTAACCTTAATACTAAAAGAGTTGTTGATAAAACCATTGAAGTGTAGTGGAACTGTAATCTTTAGATTAGATGAAGAACAAAGAACTCTTATTGTGATTTGAGGATAGATATGCTGAATATAGATATAATGGCTATGTTATCTTATCTTACCTAATTATGTCTAAGAATAAACTGAATTTATCATACCTTTATGCCAATGTGTACATTTTGTTATCTTCAGGCAACATTTGTCTCACCACATCAGCATTAGATTTCTATTCCTGAAAACAAATAATATTTGTGAATTTTATGTTCTTATACATAAACCCAAAATTAAAGAATAAATATATAATGTTATACTTCTGTATTGTATGTATTAATGCTGTATGGCTACTGTTAACAACAGTTTAGTATAATCGTAATTAAAAGTGATCTATATTATCATATAATTAAGTTATATGGCAATTGTATGTGGTAGAGCCATCCTGCAGGTATATTACTGGTATAAACAATTTGTTATTTAGAATTTTATTATAGCTAGTTGTGTAATTTAATTCCCTTTATAATTTTGATTAATTATGATCAATATAGTGTAATCATACTTTAAATTAATGCCAAATGTAACACTTAACTCTATAAATATATTGAACTTATTTAAGAATATTTTGACTTCAACCTTTTGTAATTAAACTATTAATAGCTTATGTACCTACATCTTAAAGCTAAACTAATATTATTTCATGAAGACTGTTATATACCTAGTTTTGTTGTTAAATACAAGTACTTACTATAACTAAGATTAAACCAAAAATATACTAAATATACCTTTTTATATCAATCCTATATAATACGTTTTAATATGTATAAAAAGGTAATTATAATTATCTCAACCCACCAAAGAGCTAGATAGAAAAACAAATTTATAAAAAAGTAATTTGTAACAAATCATTTACTCTGATTCGTACTGCTAACTCTAGTTGCGTGAATTTCAACTCGAGTTAAATCAATTCGTAATTTTTCCAAGTCGGCACATCTATAAGATCAGAATTCCTAATATTCACTTCACTTAGTTGTTGTTGTTTTAACTTTCATCAATTGTTTCACCATATCGTTTCATTATTAACCACAGCTTTTTTGGTGATTTTTTATTGACCCTGCATTTATATATTTAAGTAATTATAGTGAAAAATAGCCTGTAACTGTAATTATAGTGAAAAATCACCTGTTACAGTGCAGCCAATGGATAATCTCACTTTTACTTATTCTACAATAACTCAGTTCGTACATTGACAAATCCTGCGAGATTTTCAGCTATGAATTGTCTATATAGTATATGCTTACAAATGGTCGTACTTTTATCTTATTAATACTTGGGCCCAAGAATGTATAGAGACGTGTTCTTCTCCTTTAAGTACCATGGTTGAAAGTAATAAAATGACTCACCTGTTGCAGTCAGAGGCACACCATGAGCTATTTCATTGTCAGTAAGCAAGGACGGGTAAGAGTATCGAAGTCTTCTGCCTTCATTGTCGAACTGAAATATATCAAAATGTTTTTCACAGACACGTTTGTTAAGTAACTGTTCTTTGGAAAGTACAATGAGCTGGGGATTTGTCGGCACTATGAAAGACATCCACAAGTTTCTTAAATTATCGTTCCTAGGGAATCTGAAGAGCCGGTGCGTTTCACGTGTTGTATTGCAACCACTAATACAACACTTTTCGTATACCATTATGATGGTATATGCAATGTTCACACGAGCAACACAAAAACAGAATATTGTAATAATTGAGGAAAATTTGGATAAATAATGGCGGCAATCAATATCGATAATTTTGATTTTTGACAATATGATTTGAATTTGACATTAACACAATATGGCGTCTCAAAATGGCGTCCGTAGACAGAGGACAAATTGCGACTTTAGCGCCAAGTTGCGTAGAATGGAACTAAGCTGTCACGGGCTGTCAGCTTGCTACATATTTATTTATCTATGGTCAGTTAGTCAGTAATCTATGGCTGACGGCTACGCGCGGCTGATCGCTAAAGATGCATTTGTTATGGCATATTGTTTGTTTTGCATTTATACCATAGTTGAGAATAAATTATGATAAAATAGATAAAATAATAATGAGTGAACCTGAGCTGTCAACGTTAGTTACAATAAAATGCAAGCAACAGACTATAAGAGCAGTGCGATTCAATGTGGACGGTTCGTACTGCCTGACGTGTGGTGCCGATAAGAAAATCAAGCTATGGAATCCGCATAAACAACTTCTTTTAAAAACTTATGGCGGTCATGCCAACGAAGTGCTCGACGCGGCCGGCTCATGTGATAGTAGTCATTTTGTTTCTTGTAGTTCAGATAAATCGGTAATATTGTGGGATGTGGCCACAGGTCAACCAATAAGGCGATATCGTGGTCATGCTAGTACAGTTACCTGTGTTAAGTTTAATGAAGAATCAACAATGGCCATTTCTGGTTCAGTAGACAATACGGTTGCATTTTGGGACACATTGAGTAGAAGACAGGAGCCAGTGCAAGTGTTAAAGGATGCTAAAGACACAATTACTGCTGTACAGGTCACTAATCATGAAATTTTGACCTGTTCAGTGGATTGTCATGTGCGTTTATATGATATAAGAGTTGGCAAAATGACTTCAGATTATATTGGACAGATAGTTACGTTTGGTAGCATTACTCATGATGGACAGTGCTTTGTTCTAAGTTGTGCTGATAGCACAGTTAAACTTTTTGATAAAGACTCAGGAGAGTTGCTTAATACATTCTCTGGTCATGAGAGCAAAGATTTACTTCTAGAGAATGCTGTTAATGAGAAAGATAGTCATATTATTTCGGGCTCTGCAAATGGAGAGGTTTTTTATTGGGATTTAATAAATAGTAATTGTACTCGAAAATTAGTTCACTGTAAACAAAAGCCAGTTGTAACATTAAGCCAACACCCAACTGAGAGCTACTTGTTAACTGCCTGCGAAGATGAGGTAAAATTGTGGGGTACAAAAGCTTTGGAAGAATAAATAATAAACTATGAAAGCAACAGTAGCCTAATGATTACAAATAACGTTCAACTGTTTTCATGAACCAAGCATTAGTTAGATGTGCTTAAAGGCAACACTAATAGTATATGGAGACAGCTAGTTTTTTTGAATAAGATTTTTTTTAAGTAATGTTTAAAATGGACAAGTATATAATATTTTAATTGAACTGAAGGTGTTGACCATTGTAAACTATATTATATAAGTTTGTACAAATAAGTATTATAATATGATATGTTACACAAAATTTGCTATATCATATGAAAGCGAAAATAAGCCGTCTACAGCAGAGACACCCATCTATATGAGTATAATTCATTTGTACATAATCATGGTTATTATCCTATTGCTTGATATTTTTTTATAGGATAGGGTGACAAACAAGCACACAGTCCACCTGATGGTAAGTGGTTGCTGTGGCCCATAGACATCTACATCTATCCTTGATTACGAATCAAAATGCAGATGCGTTGTCACCCGTGAGGACTAATATGGAAGGCCTTGTTTCCAGTAAAAAGAGTCTCCGGTTCTCTACGCACTCTCTACTTACCATACGAAACACAGCAACATTAAACTACTATTTGACCTGTGGTCCTCCCTGGTCGAGCCAACCCATTCATGCTACAACTATACTACTAATATAACTGCAGCATAGCTCTACCACATATTTATGAATAAACATGAATAAATATCTTTACAACCCATAACAAGTCTACTTTAAACATAACTCGCCAAATGCCAAAAAACCTGGTCCTGAGTAACCTGCTTCCATCAACTCCCTGCATGTCTACTAGTCTAAAAAGGTGAGATATTCAGTAATTAATCTAATAGGAATTTATTTCCTGAATTCCCAATCACTCATGCGAACTACTGGATATTGGGAAAAAAACTGACTTGACTTTCATTAAGAATTATTTATAATCTTTACTAGAGCAATAAATTGACTTTCAAAAAGAATTATTTATAATCTTTACTATATAAAAATTATTCTGTTCTATTCTCAATTAGGTTTAGACAATGAATTCATGTTCACATGCCTACATGTTGGAACAGCGCTAACCCGGTGCCCTGGTCCTGCATGAACTCACCCATGTGTAATTACTCTTTAACATATACACAACACTCTGCCATAGTTTTATATAGGACAGTTGTTATACTCTTTGCGAATGGAGCAATGGTTTGGACACAAGATGAGAGATGAGGAGTTTTCATCATTCGTGGGTTCGTTGCGTTCCGAGCTATGAATGACCAAAGTTGCCGTAAATTGATAAAATTATATGGTTTAAAAGAACTGCTGTGGAATAGCATTATCATAATAAAGAGCTTAGAGAAGATGCATGGAGAGAACAAGCTATAGCTGCTCGCACAGGACCGACATCCATGTTGAACGGTCAAACACTTGAAGCAACAGTAGCGGACCGCGAACTCAAAAAGGTCGTGGGTTCGAATCCGCCATTCGACTACTGGCGTGAACCACTCGTAACACAAGCAATTTAAGCTTACCACGAGTGGTTAAGGGGAATATTAGTAATGTTTATAGCATTGTTAATATTCTTAAAAAAAAAACACTGGAACGGATGACGCGCGCGCCAGGGGCGCTTAGTTGATTTACTTCGAACATTTGGAACACGTTCCGCGGAACGTACTAGTCGTCGCGGTCATTAATGATGCGCGCGCCAGGAGCGCGTTATCAATACGCGGCTTGACGCTTTAATGGAGCTTATGTAGTCATTTCTAAAAGGAACTTAGGCCTTGCTTGACCCGAGTGGCCACTCCGAGTATCTTGGTACGCCCACTTCGAATGTGTGTTTGTGGGTGCGGCGAAATGGACGTCTTTTCCCCTTACCGCTGCAACTGAGGTGGAGTCGCGGGGGGAAGAGGAGTGTTAGAATGGCGATGCGCCACTTGCCCTCCGCGACTAGTTGCTAGCGGGGTTGCACCATTGATGAGGTGGTGGTGGCGTCGCTATAATTGTCTGCGACCGAAACTTGGTTGGCGGCGGAGCCACAGACCCATATCGCTGGGGTCAGGAAGGTTATTTCAAAAGTACTCGTATTTTTCTGGGCCTATCGGTATCGGCTTATAGAGTCTCTTTTGTACTATGGTTCTGTACTCAGATAGCCCGTTTATACACTGTAACACTTAAGCACTTCAAATATATAGACAGCCAACTTGGCACCGCTGAAAGGACTGTAGCACCGTCTAAATTTCTATGGAATCAAAGAAATTCTCATTGTCCACATTGCAAGACAATGTTTGTCGAAGATTGTGTATGTGGTCTATGGTTGTTTGTCCAAGATCCTGATCCTGGATGCGGCAGAAGCTTTTGGATGATGAATATATTGATTTAAATGAAATAAATAATGAAAATCTTGCTATTTTTCGCCCCTCCGGAAAACAGGACGTGACGGGTGGCGAACCTCGTCGCCTAGTTCTTTATTGTACCCTTTCTGAAAGAACATTGTACTTTTAGTACTTGTTTTGTACACTCTTAGAAGCTCCGCTGTTATTCCTTCCTTATCCGGGGCTTCATTGTTCTTAAGCTGCTGGAGAGCCACTAATTTCGCACAGACTTATACGGGATAATATATAATAGGAAAAGTGTTAGATGACTTGGATCTTGAGAGTTATTTACACTTACTTGTGGCTCCAGGCAGGGCCTGATTTACCCACAGGCTAAGCTGGCTGGAACCTAGAGCGCAAGGTTCGAGGGGACGCGGAGATTGCTTTTACAAGTACCACTAGTTTCTATATTTACAGTTGGTAGTTTCTATATTTACAGTCCAAAACAAATAAATACATTGTAAAAATAGACTGGAAGTATTTGGTACCTTTCGTTTTTAGATTACTGACTGGGGGTAGTTCAAAGATTTTAAACTACTTAAGCTCCCTTCTCTACCTCTAATTTTATTAAGGTATATTGCTAAGGGAACTTCTGTCAGTCATATGTTTCATTTCTGCACAAGGAGAACGCCCCACTGGCCCATGCCGTAAAAAAGAAACTCCATCTTTTAGGTTCTCTTTTTGTGATCAACTTGACTCTCGATGATGGTAGGTGCAAAGCACTGCTCTTCCTGGATGTCAATAAGTCGAATAGGCCTGACGGAGTCCTTCCTATTGTGTTGAAGACGGGTGCTCCGGAGTAAGCACTGATCCTAATGCGTCTTTTCCAGTACTCCTACTCCCTAGGCGTAATGCTGAATTTATGCAAGACAGCTTTAATGCACCCGATCCCTAAAAAGGAGACCTCGCTGACTCGTCCAACGACTTCGTGATTTCAGAACAGAGATTCGTCTTTTCTAGAAACTGTTGCAGTTCATTACAGTCGCCCACCAAATTGGTACCACTATCGTATAAGATGGTTTGTTAAGTTTACCACGACGGGCCATATACCGGCCATATATCCTTCTTTGGTCAGGTCCGTAACGAGCTCTATGTGTACAGCCTTTACTGCAAGGCAAACAAAGATATATAGGTAAGATTTTATCGGCTTACATCCTCGCCTTTTCCAGTCAGCTTAAATACTAGCCCAGCATAGTCCACGTTGTAGCTTGAAACTGGGAATTTTAGTTATGTCCTTGATGTTGATAATTGACTCATTATTGGCTGCAGGCAAAGACCTATACTATGGCTGCAGGCTTACACATTTGTTAAAAACATTTGATACTTTTCTTA